GCGAATCTTGGATGCCGGACTTTCTAGAGAAGAAAATAACAGCTTTAAGAACAACAAATATGAAATTGAATAAAGTAATTATAACATTCCCCATTCCTAGATGATCTAACACAAAAAGCGCTGGCTCTGGAGTCATTCAGATAGGGATTCAAGTCCTGGGTCTGTCCTTTACCAACCTACATCTTCTCATGGGGTGAGGATTATGAGAGATGACCTCAGGGGTCCCAAAATGTTACTTTCTTTACCCCTCACTGATTATTATACAAACACTATGGTATCCATTAGATGACTTTTTTGACCAAAATGATCTAGAACAAAAACTTATCCCTGATAGTTTAGAGTCCTATAGAAAAAACTAACATTAAGAAATTTAAAGCAATTGTTATATTTTGAAATGTGCTTGCATGACTTATATATGTGTGAATGATCTCTCATGGGGGAAATATGAGAGTTTACTTTTTAGCAGTATCTTATTTGGATGATTTAGAACAGCAAACAGCATAAGCTACTTTTCTTCCATTCGCCAAAAACCTAAAGACAAATGATTGTTCAAATTCAGCTACTTCTAAGAAAGAGGAATAAAAACAAAAGTAATTCTGAGGGGCAATGACTCATGAGTGAAAGCCACACACATAGTAAACAGAAAGCTGTCACTAAATATGTTCACAGAGGCAGAGTGAGATGGACTGAAAGAACAGACACTGAAGAAGTGTTTTCTGCAAACAAATATTACGTTTGGGGCAAACCATTAAAAAAAAAAGTGGGGAGGAGGAAGAAAAAAAATGAGACATGACTAGTCAAGTACAAACTGAAGGCAAAAAAAAAGGAAAAAGTAAGTATAACAAGGCATGTGGAGATATACATATATTTCAGCATTTATATATAATAGATCAGGGATGTATCAGTATTGTTAGCGATATACGGTGAATGAAAGTCTCTGTTTTACCTTTTTATTATATATAGAAAAATATGTAAATTATATATGCAAGTATATATATTCTTCTTCAGCAAACTTTATAAAAATATCAAAATATATGATATATAAAACATATATATAAAACAAAGGCCTTTGTTCATAGTATATCCCCAATAATACTGACTTGTATTACTCTACAACTGTTTGTTTATAAATACTACTATAAGTAAGCGTTAAATCTCGTCACTGTAAGTCACTCAATTGAACATGGTCATCTCTCACTACCTGAACGCTGCCAATTATTACTAGAGAGAGAGAAAAATAGATTTTAGAAAGTTCCTAACTCATCAGCTTTCCACCTAGACAAAGAACTGGTAATCAGGATTCTAAGGATAATATATAGCTTGAAAAGATATATTTAATGGAACATGAGAGGGGGCTAAAAGAAGGTTAAAAAGTTTTCATCTCAAATTCTAAGCTCACAGTTGATGGATACTGAAAAACAGACTGTAACCTTTTCCTATTTATCATATACTTCTTATCTATTTCCTCGGCATTTATGACATATTTCCTCTCATAACAACTGAAATTTTACAACCTAAACAAAGGGAATAGAAATTTAAGTCATATTTTTAGAATTCAAATAATTTCACTATGACATAGTACGCATATTATATTACCTGTATCATCAGTTTTCATTATGATAGAGTGTGCATATTATATTACCTGCAGCATGATGCAGAATCCCATGTCTCTTCATGCATTCACACTCAAGGAAATACTAAAATGCTTCTTACATTTAAGACCTTATTCTAGGTGCTCCAGGAAATGCACAATTACGTTCCCTAATCTCTAGCAGTGTATACTGATGCAGGGGCTATAAGATGAATATGTAAATAACTATACTACAAAATGTCTGAAAATTGAAATTTTAGAATGGGACACGAGGACTGGACATACTTCTTAAAACTGTAATACAAAAGAATTCTGACATAGGTTTCATCATATGGTTGTTATTAGGAGTCTACTTTTAAAGCTGGCTGTTATTTTAGGGAAAACATGTATTCTTCACTTAGATGCAGAGTTTTGAATATAGTCGTAATGGGATAATTTAGAAAACACAGAGGAACTT